GGTCATAAAACCAATTTTAAAATCCCATATAATTCTCAAGGAACATTGTCCTTATTTTGCCTTAATTTTTTGAGACTTAAAAATATTTTTTCATAATTATTCTTGACCAATTTTCCTTAATTAGTCAAACATTTCATAATTGGCTTGGAAAACTATAATAATTATTTTCCACCAAAATTCTTCTATTTCTCCTTGTCATTTTTTACCCTTAACTATTTTGAAATATTTCTTATTCCTAATTACCATAGTACTGGATGTGACAGTGACGAGTATGGGATTGATCATAACTTCTCAGCACCAAGAACTCCTCAACAAAATGGATTTGTTGAACAAAAAAACAAAGTGCTCACGGAAATGGGAAGAGCAATGCTGAATGAGAAAGGGATTTCACAAGTATTATGGGCCAAAGCAATGAGCACAGCTTGTTAATATCTAATAGAGCTTACCTTAGAACACTGCTTGGGAAAACACCATATGAGCTATACAAAGGAAGAAAGCCTAACCTGGCTCATTTGAAGATCTTCGGAAGTAAGTACTACATTTACAACAACAACAAAGAAAATTTCGGTAAATTCAATCCTAAAGCTAATGAAGGTTTATTTCTTGGTTACTCTAATCGCAGTAAAGCTTATAGGCTTTTCAACAAACACACTTTCACAATTGAAGAATCAATACATGTCGTGTTTGTTGAAACTGAGCCGATTTCAAACCTCTAGATGACGATGCTGAAATTGTTCAAAATTTTCAAAAATTGAATTTAAACAAATTTTCAAATAAAGTACCTTCAGAAGAATTTTTAGAAAACAAAGATGATTCAAATGAACCTCTTTCACAAGAAAATTTAGAACTTCCTAAGGCTTAGAGGCATAACAGAAACCATCCTCTAGAACAAGTCATTGGTGAAGTCAATGAAGGGGTCAAAATGCGGAGACAAGTGTTCAATGAAGTGCGCTTCTCTACATTCATCTTACATATTGAGCCTACCTATGCTGATGAGGCTCTATCCGATGAATTCTGGATAGTTGCAATATAGGAAGAGCTAAACCAATTTGAGAGGAATCAAGTTTGGGAATTGGTACCCAGACGTAATGATCATCCGGTCATAGGCACCAAATGGGTATTCAAAAATAAGCTCAATGAATTTGCGCAAATCGTTAGGAGCAAAGCCAGATTAGTAGCTAAAGGCTATAATCAGGAAGAAGGTATTGATTATAAGGAAACATATGCTCCAGTAGCTAGATTGGAAGCCATACGAGTATTCTTAGCATTTGCTTGCATAAAAGATTTCAAATTATATCAAATAGATGTTAAAAGTGTATTTTTGAATGGTTATATTTTAGAAGAAGTTTTTATCGAATAGCCTCCTGGTTTATGGTTTAAAATAAGCTCTTAAGCTTGGTACGAACGCCTTAAAAATTTTCTGATAGAAAAAGATTTTCAAAGAGGCAAAGTGGATGCTACTCTTTTCATTAGAAGAAGTAGAAAGGAACTTTTGATTGTTCAAATTTACGTGGATGATATTATTTTTGGAGCTACTAATGAGGATCTCTATCAAGAGTTTGCCAAGCTAATGCAAGCTGAGTTCGAAATGTCGATGATGGGAGAACTGAACTTCTTTCTGGGATTGCAAATCAAGCAAAAGAAAAATGGCATATTCATATCTCAGACAAAGTATCTCAAGGAATTACTAAAGAAATATGGATAGGAAAATGCCAACAGTGTAAAAACTCCTATGAGCTCAACCATTTCACTGGACACAAACAAGAAGGGCAAGGACGTGAATCTGATCAAGTATAGAGGAATGATTGGGTCATTACTCTATCTCACGGCAAGCAGGCCAGATATTCAATTCAGTGCAGGAATGTGCGCAAGATATCAATCAGCCCCATAAGAATCACATAAAGAAGCCGTCAAGCGAATCCTCAGATATCTTGTCGGTACACAAAATTTGGGAATCTGGTACCCGAAGAAAGGCACAGAATATCTAATGGGATACTCAGATGCTGATCATGGAGGTTATAAGACGAACAGAAAGAGTACCAATGGACAATGTCAATTCCTTGAAGGATGCCTTGTCTCGTGGTCAAGTAAAAAGCAGAAAACTGTGGCAATATCCTCCACAGGAATGTGTGCAAGATATCAATCAGCCCCATAAGAATCACATAAAGAAGCCGTCAAGCGAATCCTCAGATATCTTGTCGGTACACAAAATTTGGGAATTTGGTACCCGAAGAAAGGCACAGAATATCTAATGGGATACTCAGATGCTGATCATGGAGGTTATAAGACGAACAGAAAGAGTACCAATGGATAATGTCAATTCCTTGAAGGATGCCTTGTCTCGTGGTCAAGTAAAAAGCAGAAAACTGTGACAATATCCTCCACAGAATCAGAACATGTTGCCATTGCCAGCTGTTGTGCTCAGATTCTATGGTTAAGACAACAACTATAAGATTTGGGAATCAACTTGAAAGGGATTCCAATTCTGTGTGACAACACGAGTAGAATAAGTCTATCCAAGAATCCAGTTCATCATGCCCGAACTAAGCACATTGACGTTCAACATCATTTCATTCGGGATCATGTTCAAAAGAAAGATTTAAAAGTAGAATTCATCCCCACTGAATATCAAATAGCAGACATTTTCATAAAGCCTCTCGATCAATAGAAGTTCAACTACTTCAAAAGAGAATTTGGAATGGTAAATCCCAATAAGCTGTAAGAAATCTCATATTATTTCTCTAATTTAAATCTTTAAATTTAATGTTTTGATGATTAAAAGACTAACATAAGCATCGCAGTATATAGAAATTTGTTTTGCAGGAAGCTTTGTTTTGTTGAAGAAAAACAGAGGTAAATAGAGTATGGAATGATCGATGAAAACATCGATAATCATGCTACTAGGAAGGGTTAATTTATCGATCAACTGATCGATAAATGAAGTATGTGAAGCAAAAGAACAAAGTTGGAAGGAGAATTATCGATAAGCTGATCGATAAGTCAATTATCAATCAACACATCAATCAGGACCGACGAGGATTTGAGACAAATCACTCAATTTAGTAAGAATTATCGATAAGCTGATTGATAAACTGTTAATCAATCAAATGATCAATAAATCAGACCAGGTACGCATTTCCTTTGTTAACATTTATTGATAACGTGATCGATAATTTATTGCTCGATAACTTGATTGATAATTGTCCTCAGTATTCTTGTGTGTTCTCTATATTTATCGAACACGTGATCGATCACTCATTGATCGATAACTTGATCGATAATTTTATTGTTTATAATGTTCAATTTTTGAAAACCCCCCGTTAGTTATCGTAGCCCTAACTCGATAAATTGTTCCCCTGTTCCTACGCAACAGTCCAAAACTCACTATTCTATTAAATTGCTGTTCCCTTTCCCCTCGAAATCACTCCTAAAGCATCCTCGTTCTCCACCGCACCCTTTAAACACTCTTTTCACCGATCAAATCCTTAAAATCCTTCGGTACAATAAGAATAGTGAGAGTTAAGCAACCTAATGTCGGCCAAGAGGATAGCATCGAAAAACAAATTCAGTCATGAGACACTACAAAGAAAAGATACAAACTGAAAGTGAGGGAAGAACCATTAAACAAGAGAGGAGTATTGAAGATTCAGGAAAGTCAGACCGAAGAGCAACCCACTCTTAGAGAAAATCTCCACGGTCAAAGTCAAAATCCAAGCTACTAATGGTTACTGAGGAATCTGAGACAAAATCTGATGAGGAAGCTTCAGTTCAGAAAGCTGTGGAAGCTGCATTATGAGTTCCTATCCCCAAGCAATCAAGACAGAGGAAACAAAAAGCAAGTGAGAGTGTGTTACACTAAGCTCTTAGCCAAGGTATCCCCTCTAAACCATCTGAATTTCTCACTGGAAATTTAGAAAAGGATGTAAACCAAGGGACATTCAAAGTTGATTTTGCCACCAGAGAATTCTGTCCAGTAGTATCTGTAAACTTGGAAAGTCTGAAAACCAACAAAAAGATTAGATTGAATTTGGATGATCCCCTGAAATATTATTCAAACTGCTTAAGTATTGGAGGAGAATATTGCCCTGGAGTAGTCAAACGATTCTATTACAATATGGAGTCCTATGAAGAATATGATGAGAAGGATAATCTTATGGGTGATTATCTCAAAACACACCTCAGAGGCAGAATGATCACTATTACTCCAGCTAAGTTGAATGAATTGTTGGGGTAGAAGACCATGTGAGGGGAGGCGAAATGAATGATATCAAGGCTTACAAGATTTTAATGTAGAGTGACAACTTTCCTAGTAAGCTCAGTTTTCCCCCCAAGCAGATGTGTGATTATTATAGAATAATTCACTACATCTGATTAAGAAGCATGGTCAATAAATCTAGAAACTCCTCCCACCTCAATCAAGATGACTACCTTCTGCTGGCAAGAATAATCAGTGGAGAACAGTTAAATATAGGAGCTCTGATTACAATGAAATGAAAGATTTTGTGCTCAACATATCCAAGTCAACTCCTATCCCTTATCCTCAGTTAGCTACCTATCTGCTTCAAGTGAACAATATTGCACCAATGGAACATGGTGAGATCAAAGCGAAGATACCCTCTTTTAGGATAAATCAACTAAACAAAATGAAAATCTCTGTGCCCTTTAGACCTTCACAGAAGCTAGCTGAGAAAGATAAAGGGAAAAAACCTGCTGCTAGCTCCTCAAGACCCCAGGATAAGGCAGAATCCACTGTACTTTCCTCTCATACCTCTGGACCCTCATTTCTGGAAAAATCAATTAGGGAAATGTTCTAGGTAGAACTTCAAGAATTTGAGAGGAGAGTGTATTTGACAGCTAAAGACTATGGGGAACTCTCAAACAGAAAATTTGATGGCATTTCCAAAATTCTGGATCTTTATCATCAAGCCATAGTAGTTCTGGAAAAAGAAGTTTCTTAGAGGTTTGACTATATTAAAAGGGAGATCCGAGACTTAAAAGGGATGGTAGCCTCTCTTTGCAACAATTTCTTTGCGCCCAACACCTCTTTTAGTTTTGAAGACCTACTCTCTCATCCACCATCTCCTCCTCACCATGAGCCTGCACCACCTATATCACCTATATCCACTTCTCCTATTTCGGCTTCACCACCTGTGCCTTCTACCTTACCTCCTCCGCCTACTCCTGCTACCTTAGCTCTTATCACAGTCCCTCAGTCTACTCCCTCTATCACTGTCTCTCCTTTTGCTCAGCTTCCCCCTCTTCCCATGTCAATCACCTTGCCTTCCCCACCTTCTAATGCTGACAAAAAGGGGGAGAAGAAATCTGTTTAGTTGTTTAGCTTTGTTGACTTTATGTAATCTGAATTCTGGATTATCATTTGAATTCTGACAGCATTTAAATATTATCAGTTGTGCATTTCTACCCTTTTTTTTTACATTTACTGGTGAATACTGTTATCTGTCGTATGATTCTGTTGAGTTCCTGCTCTAGCTTAAGTTTTATCTGATAAAATCTGATTTATCTTACACCTGTGTTTTGTCATCATTAAAAAGGGGGAGAATGTTAGATTTAAGGTTTTGATGATAACAAGTTTAGGAATATGTGTTTCAGTAAGTTGATCGATCGCCTAATCGATCAAGGGTTTATTGATCACTTTATAGATAACTTTCCTGTGCAAACAAGTAACTTAGCAGAAATATTAATCAATAACTTGATAGATAATGTGTTGATTGATTATTGTTAACACAGTTGTGTATAGAAGCCTGCAAAAAATTATCGATCAATTGATCGATAATCTAATGATCGATTAACTGTCAGATAATGGAACACAAATCTGGTAAGTATTTATCGATCACATGATCGATAAATAAGTCATCGATAAGAAGACAGATAAATGGTAAAACTCTTTGCTTGTAACATCCCAAAATTTCTAACCTAGAAATAGGGAAATATGTCATACCCTGATATCTTTAGCATGATTAATAAAAGATTTAGGGTTGACCAAGGCTAGGTAGGATAGACGATAGATGAACAGCACAATAATTGAAGTAAGAACTGAAAAAGGACCAAATTGTTATTTTTAAAATGATTGGTCTATAAAGGGCATTATCGTAATTAGTGTCCAGAAATCCTAAAAATTTCCAGTAAATCATGAAAAATATAATTAATACCATAGAATGGTATTTTAGGTCTAGAAAGTAAATACAAGTTGAAAATAATTTATTAAAAATTATTTTAATTATTAATATTATGGCTAAATTAAGGAAAATTAGCCAATATTAATTATTAAAAATATCTACAGATCTCAGAAAATTATGAAAATTTAAAATAAATTCGTTTAGGAATTATGAAAATTTATAAAATTAATTGCAACCCTAAATGATGAGGAGGTTAGCTTTAATTGAATTTAGAGCTAAATTAATATTAGCAAATTGTCTGTTTTTATAGAAACGACAATTTAAGGAGTTAAGAGGGAGAAAAATTATAAAATTAATCAGTGAAGTTCCCTTTACTGAGATATAATTAATGGTGAGTTGATATAAGCATTTTGAGATACTAAAATTTTTTGATTATCAGATAAAATAAACCAGTACTATATTAAGACTCAGTGGACTGCCAGGACAACAGTGGTGATAAAATTTCCTAAAGATTGCCAAGGACACATGTCAAGCCCAAATTGGCCAAGAAAGGGAAAAAGAAAATAAAAACAAAAAGAAAAAGAAAAAAGTAAATCAAGTTAGATTAAAATTTATTTAGGGATAAGTAAGATAATTAAGGTTAAGCCATATTCCGTAGGATCGTGACACGTGGCAAACATAGTTCATTGGATGGTTCAGATTTGACCATCTATCTTTGAAAAGTCAAAAGTTTCTAGAAGGGTAATTAGCCAAGTTAATCAAGGAATTAAGAGAGTTAACCTTGATTAAAGCCTAATTAATCTTAATGGATAAGAAGAGATGACATAAGCGCTAGTGACTCACCATCCAAGTGTCAACATATTAACCCACATAGCCTAAGATTTGCACATGTGGAAAGAGGTAAAAATTAGAGGGCTAAGATTAAGTCTTATGCAATAAGGGCATATGTGGAATTAGTGAAATTTAAAGCCTATAAATACCCCCTCCCACATGTTCATTTTGGGTGAAATCTTTCAAATAGGAAACCTCTTGCAAATTTTCATGTAGAGAGAGAAAGAGAAGAGTTCTAGTGAGAGAAAGTCATTTGGAAGCAAGGTAAGCTTCTACAACTCTTCTATTTCAAGTTATAATGATGATATGTTGGTTTTAGGCTTTTTTAATGATGATGGAAAGTCATTCTTCTAAGGGGAAGTGCTGACCAAATTTCCTCAAAATGGATAGGAAGGGTTTAGGTTATGTATGGTTAAGATTAAGCATGGTTAAAGGTTAAGGATTAAGTAATTACATGTTAGTTTAGTTGAAAATCCTTTTCCCTATAATTATATAGGGAAAACCATTTTGAAGGTACCTAAACTTCTCTTCAATTTTTAATTTGGTACCTATACTTTTTTTGCTTTTTTAAAAATCCTTTAACTTTCTTCCATTTATGCTGTTAGCCCTCATACTTCAGAAAACACGCGCAAGGCTAAACGGAGGAATTAACACTGTTAAAATGGGATTTCTTCATCGAAACTGAACTTCAATATAGAGGAGGTTTTTGACAGATGTAGGGGTCCAATCTGCAACATGACTTGGAGAGGACTTTGACAGAATCAAAACCTTACGCAAAGATATTTGCTTCGATGGATTTGATGTCTGCAGCAAAAAGAGGAAGGGTTCTCTGTTTCGACTTCTGCTAGCCCATGCGATTTGCTTCTCCCTTTTGTGAGAAAGTGGCTTCTATTGGAATGGGTGAGATCATGCAATTTTTCTTTTCATGTGATGTGGTTCTCCTTTTGCCACAATTGTTAATCAACATACAGAATCTTCAATTGTCCTCGGCAGACAAAATATATATCATGTGAGTAATCATCTCCAGTCCTTCTTTCTGATGCTTTAAACACACTCATATTTAAAACTAAGTGGCAATAATGAGTTAGAATAGCAAAGAAAGATCCCATTATGGGAAGCACACGTATAAAGGAAAACATGCTTCATGAAAAGATGGAAGAGCAGAGACCCAACGCATTCATACAAGGTAAAAATAAATTAGAGAATATAATGAAAATACCTTGTGTTGTACACTAATCAAACTCCTTACTCAATGGAATAGAGATTGCGTTACAGCCCTAGCAGGTTATCAATGGCACTGTCTTTGTCATCTAAGAACAGGGGAGATGATGCTCTTTCTTCGAATGGTTCATGCGTTTGTGTCTTCAAGTTTTTCCCTCTTCCTTTTCTCTTTTAACGCTGTGTATCTTTCTATTAGCCCTTGAGTGTGTTTTCTGAAGTATGAGGGCTAACGGCATAAATAAAAGAAAGTTAAAGGATTTTTAAAAAAGCAAAAAAGGTATAGGTACCAAATTAAAAATTGAAGAAAAGTGTAGGTACCTTCAAAATGGTTTTCCCTAATTATATATATGGTTCAGCCAAGTCAAGTTCAATGGGAAGGAATTGGATTTTCATAAAACTAATATGATAAATAGATTCTACATGAAAAATTATGTAGGAAAAGCCCAAGAAAGTTCAAGAATCAAAGCTAGAAAAATAAACCCTAAAAATCAAGAGAAAGGAGTTTAAGGGGTTATGTTAAGTATGAAGTTGTAATCATACTTAATGTTCTGTCATTGGTTTCCTAATAGGCTATACACAACAAAGTGACAAAGATCTAGTCAAGAGGAAAAAGTCCAAGAGGAAGGAAAGCATTCAAGGCAGCTTTGCAATTCATTATATTAGAGTGTCACCTTACTTTGTGTGACTATAGTTACGTGTTTTGCTGACCTGTTATGCTATGTGGTGGATGAGAATGTCATGTTATATGATATTTCCTCCATGCAAATTATGCCCTGACTTATGCTATGTTGAGTGCCATGAATGGTTACGATGATATGTCCTTGTCATAGCATGAACATAAAGTTAGAGTATGCATGCATGTAGCTTGATTTACAATGTATTGTGTGACCTTGATAATGTATGCAATTGCTACTAAGATTCTCCAAGAATCTTACCCCATTATTTAAACAAACCCTAGGGCCTTCAACAACCAAGGGCAAAGGAAAGGACTTGGCTCTCTCTTGAAGAGGTAGTAAGTCATAGTGACTTTATATGGCTTTGAACCTTTCTATTTTAGAAAAAATATAATATTAAGCATGCTTTAAGTTTCCAATAGTATGACTAAGGTTAGAAGTATACAAGCATGGTTAGAAATAGCTAATATGGCTAATGAAAGTATGTTATGATGGTAAATGGTCAATTAAGTTACCCTTCCAAGAGGGGTAAAAAGTCAATTGAAAGGGATTAAAATTTGACTAATGACCATTTGAGTAAACGAGTGAGTTAGGTTATGAAATTTGGTAGGCAAAGAGATCTGGTTTTTCTCTTTAAAATGAGAGGTAGTTTGCCCCATTCCGATTACTGAGCAGAAAGTTATGCCTTTCCAAAGTTAGGAAAAAATAAAGTAAAAATCCGAAAATGACCAAATGAACAGTAAATTTTTCAAAGAAAATTAGGCTCAAATTTCAAGGCAATCAATCCAGAAACTATTTTTTCTCAAAAGGGTATCCAAAGAGCTTTCCATAGAACTTGGAATCACTCAATTTCAATGTTTCTACAATTAGTTATGAATTTTTAAAGTTGGCAAAGATTTCATTGAAATGTGAATAGTGCACAGAAGCATTCTGTGACTTGAGGTCGCAACCTGAGAAGTTGAGGTCGCGACCTGGAGGCAAAAATGGCCTCTACTAAGTCGTGACTTGAACTGGAAAAATGAAAAAGTTTCAAATTTTTAAGCCTTTTCTCATACTTAAGGGTCATATAAGATTTCAAACGTGATTTTTCATAACTTGTAGTCTTCAAAAGTGATTCCAAATGCTTCTGCAAGGCAAGTTATTTGATATAAACTTAAGGTGTTACATTTTCTGGTATCAAAGCAAATGGTTTTGGCACTCAGAACAAATTTTTAAATTTAAAGTTTTTATGCTCTGGATTTTGAGGAAAACATTTTACATTGTTCATTAATGAGTTTATTTGGTCATTAGGATTACAAAAAGCTTAAGTGATGGCTGTCTGTGATAATGGAAGTGGAAAATCAGGAGAGACCATTAGCAAGGTCATGTCCAGTGAGCCATATCCATGGTGGTATGAGGATATTGAGAGGTATAAAGAGCTTAGCACCAAATTCCCAACTATCCATGTAGATTACTTCGGTTTCAAGG